AGACTAAACGATACAAAATATGTCTTTTGATGAAAAAGTAATGAACAAAATTCAATTTTATTATTTTTCATACGTGGTTTTAAGCTTTCGGATTTTTTTTAAAACAAACCAAACACTATTAAAATCACAAGTCGTAGTATAATGAATTTGTCAATTAACTGTAAACACAATATAAACCAAGGGTAACCATGGCTTCAAATTTGAGCAGTGATAGGTAGTTACCTACACGTAGGATGTTTTTTTTTTTGTACCTGGAACTTAAAAATTAGCTTACTCACCCAGATAACGACGCTCAGGCAGAATATCGTATACTTCAACAGGTTTATGTGTTTCTCCAATTTGGTTGCGGCTTTTGCCAGAGCGTTCTGCGCACTCACCACGGTCATGGTTCTTCCGTCTTGTCGATGCTATTCTCGTTTTTATGACAATGTTCTTTTTTGCGTTTTCTGTTTTTGATTTTGTCGACTTCTTTCGTACAACCGTCGTTGGTACGCGAACAAAACAAACTACATYGGTCCAACGCCGACAAGTGGCCCGATAACAGTATAGGATGTAGATAGAAGGTCGTAGGTATGTTATTTACACTACACTGCAGCCGCGCCTAAGTCTCGACATTCCGATAACGAAACCGTCTTTATCTTTTCACCACGAAATAACATTTTACGTACCTATCGCATACGCCTACAATTACCAACACTAATAATTATAACAATACGATATTATTGTGTGACTAATAATATTTGTTGTAAGATTWTCGGTCTGTGTATAATATTAWTGGTTTACTCSTACTGTCATAGGCGACATGCGCTCTGACATATATTTTTAATAATAGTGTAATATCGATATTTATTGACTTCGAATACGRTTACTTCAACTACTAAGCAAGCATAATATGCTTCGTCTGTACGAACAATTTTAATGTTGGTATAGCAATTATTATTATTGAGTACGAATAACACATGCGATTTTTAGGAAGACACAAAAGGTACGATGAAACCTCTAAGAACCAGACAATCTCTGGTACTGAAGTCTTTTCCACTGTCCTGGTGATTTGGTTTATAAAATGTTTTTATTCCCGAAAAAAAATTCCACTACATTAGGGTGTTCCTTAAGAGAGACCCCTATGTTATAGTTAAAAAACAAACTATAATATCTGGCGCACGAGCAAAAATATATATTTTTATATTACCCACCTAAACCACCTATCAATTTCAATGATGAATAATTAAATTAATATTTTATTAGTTTTCATTTATTTATTTATTGACTTTGCTATTACACTTGTTGGATAAACACAATATCCTTTTATGTGCCACGAAAACTACTCAAATTCATAAAGTAACCCTCAAAAAATATTAGTTGGTGAYCTTGGTATTTATCATAACCATTGTAAAAACATTGGTATCATTGATGTATAGGACGATATTATTTTCCTGATAAAAATTCAATATAATATGTTATTAACAATTAATTATTCAAATTTAACATTTCCATTAAAAATTTATTGAGTGACTCATTAATTATGATGTACTTAAAATTGAAACCTTCTATAATACAGCATAGCTTTCCTTGATTTTACTTTTATACAATGTAGAGCATAATTTTTCTGGAGGCAGTTGCTATAATTTTTWTGAACAGTGCATTTTATAATAAATTTGTATTTATTATTTCCAATTATTTATATTGTAAAAATTATTTTCAATTTCTATTACATGGAATAAAAAAAAAAATCACTAAATGTATTTTCTTATTAGGATATTTTTCTTTTCATGGTGATAAAATATAGCACCGCTAATTACAGGGTAAAAAAAAGTACTTATGTAAGTTGTTGTTTATCTATGATTATTGAATTTATATATTATATATCATTAAATTATTTTATGTTAATATCTTATTTATATTTTAAA